CTCTCCTGCCCGGGCTGGCTTTGAACCACGATCCTCAGATCTCAGCCTCCTGAGTAGCTAGGATTACAGGCGTGAGCCACCAGCGCCCGGCTCTTCCAACCTCTTAACCCTTGCCTGACCTCACAACTTGGCCTCACAGCCTTATTCCACAATGAAATGTTTAAAACAGGCTCCAGTCCAATTCTCCTGCCTGTGTCAGGCAATCTGCACTTATCTTTGGTGGCTTGCCTGGTATCTGTATGTACCTGAGAAAACAGGGTGGGAGTCAATCATTCAACACTTACTCACATGTTAACATCTTAATAAACAAACTATGTCCCATTTTCTAGTTTCAGTTTAACCTTAATTTATCCATGAAAATGTGTTTTTGTTCTGGCTCTGTACAAATTAAAATTAATTTAAGAACATAATGAGCAAGTAGGATTTACTACTGAACTCAAAGATTCGAACAGAATTAACAAATGATGTCATCTTATGGATCTTTCACCCACATGACCTCAATGACTCCTTTGGATTTTGTGGTTAAGCTTTATTTATGTTTTTTTAATCCTGCCTATAGTTCTACTACCAATATTATTCACTTTTACTTTTTTGTAGATATTATACAGATATTATACTATTTGTTTTCTGATAGGTAACATATTCAACAATTCATTGGTAAGATAAGAGTTATAGATATGTATGTTGTTGCATGTTGCTGGTGTTTATGTATTTTCATACCTGAATAATACTCATTTGATTGAGTATACTATAAGATTTTTAAATGCTTTCTTCTATGGATTTACTTTGCTGCCATGTGTTGTTATGAGCAACATTTTTACATATTTCTCTTATACAACAGTTTCTCCTGGTTTTGCACTGATATGTAGATTACTGAATGTATATATTTAGTTCAAAAGATAATGTCAACCATTTATTGAGTATTAGTGTAGTCTTTTTAGTGCGAGGAGGAATGAATAGTATCTTTTGGGGGGGGGAGCCCTGGAGCTTGCACTAAGGGCTTGGGCACTGTTCCTGAGCTTCTGCTCGAGGCTAGTGCTGTACCACTTGAGCCACAACTTCACTTCTCACCTTTTCTAAGTAGGTTTTTGGAGATAAGAGTCTCACGGACTTTCCTACCTGCACTGGCTTTGAACTGCAGTCTTCAGATCTCAGACTCCTGAGTATGTAGGGCTGGGCAAATGGTAACTTTTGGAGTCCTAGTGAAGACCATGAAAACTGCAGTAAAACCCTACCTTTGGGGCCTGACAAAGTAGGTATTTAGTTCCTGTGAGAGCTTATGTGATTACTCTGTAGCTCTGTAGATTTTTTTGTCTTTCTGTGTGTGTCTAGTTCATCTGAGGTGGGGGCTGTGGTTATATCCTCTCTATTGCTCCTAGCATCAAGCATTGATTACCATGTGTAAACAGTAAACATTCACTGAATATCTATTAAGTAAATGAAATAGCCTCTATTTTTGTCAGTTGCCCACAGTTTGTGACACAGATCTCACTACCTATATCTATTAAGTAAATGAAATAGGTTCTATTTCTGTCAATTGCCCACAGCTTGTGACACAGATCTCACTACCTAGTCTCCAGTATATGCAGGAGATAACACTACAGTGATCAACTGAATTGAACCAGTTACCCACCCGGACCAAAAACATGGTTCCTCCCACTGTATGTAGAATGATTTTAATTACTGCTGTTTTCTCGCATGAGGCCTGAAAAGCTACCATATGATTATTACTTACTAAGCACTTATGATCATATTTATTGAGGCTAAGCATCAAACATGTCATTAAGAATATTGTTCTAAGAGTTTTGCTAGTCAGAAAACATCTTGCTCTTTTTGTTAAATAGATCTGAGAAAGGTTCTGAACTTTGATAAAGGTAAATTGGATTTTAGGACTCCTCCAGCCTTCTTTCCTGTGTCCTGAATAATTGAATCAGAAAAAAAAATTACTTACTGGTAATAATGCATGTCAGGGAATATGTAAAGGAAGGAGAAGCAGTACAAGGAAATACCTTTGGCTCAGGTTGTAGCAAGGAGAGATAGGAGGTTTCACAATCCTGACATTCAACAAAGGTTTAAGAGTTCAACTGTAGTTTTAAGACAGTCAATTAGTTTAGTTAACCTATTCTTCTCTGAAAGTATTTGTGTCTAGAATTCCACAAATGTAAAGGGCTAAAATCTGAAGGAATTTCTTAGAACAGCTAAAATGTTTTTGCATTACATAAGGTTATATGCCCAGCCTCTTTTCGTAGAAATTCTTCCTTGAGGATATTTATTCCTAATTTTTTAAATTCCTAGACATTGGCCCCTCCTAGAATCTCAAAGGCAGGTGAATGTCCCAGGGATAGGAAATGGGCCCTCAGGCTGTTTAAAGACTGAGAAAAATCATTTGGTCCATGATGGCACAGACACCTGATTCTTGAAGGCTCTTGTCTGCTGCCCTCACACCATCTGCCTGTTTTGATAGTTTTGTATGACCCACAAATAATGTTAGAAACATCCAAATGTCCCTTTGAAAACAAAAAAAAACTTTCTCATCCCTGAATGGATATTTGGTATTTATTATTGAATAAAAGAATGAAAAGCTTCTACAACTTCAGAGAAAGCTTCCAGACAAATGGAGTAGATAGGATTTTATCTCTAATATGGAATCATTTTCTTTTCTTCATTTTTGTCTCTTAGAGACAAAACTAAGACACCTCTGAGTTTTTAAATTACAAGGATTTGGATTGAAGGAGTAATATTATTAGAGACTAATTCATAATCCCTCCCAAATGCACATGTTGAAGTTCTAATTCCCAGTCCCTCAGATTTGGCCTCTCTGGGGGTGATAGAAGTAGAGTGAGACCATTGCAGTGACCCATAATCCAGTATTACCAGT